TTTTTTTTAGGTGTAGACGGACACAACACAATGCCTTTATTTTTATATGGTGCTGAGGATTGAACCCGGGCCCCACCGGTGCTAGGTGAGCGCTCCACCGMTGAGCCACAATCCCAGCCCTGTTGTACCCTGTCTTCTTGGTGACCATAATTTATTTAACTAAGTCTTCAACTGTTGGGTATTTTATTGATTGCATTTTCAAAAAATTACAAACTACTTATAATGAATATTTGTTTATTAGTACTGGGAATTGAACCCAGGGGTGCTTAACCACCGAGCCACATTCCCCAGGGTCTCACTAAGTTGCTTATGGTCTCGTTAAGTTGCTGAGACTGGCTTTGAATTCATGATCCTCCTGCCTCAGCCTCCAGAGCGCTGCGGCATGTACCACTATGCCCTGCTCTAAGGAATGTTGTTTGTCTAACAGTTTTTGAGCTTGCATGTTCAGAGCCACCAGTACTGAGGACATAGTTGTCAATGTGATGGACACAGGTCTTGCCTTCAGAAGTGGAAGTTTAACGACAATTATTCACATATATACAWAAGTAATAGTTAACAACCGTGGAAATTGCAACAAAGGGGCAGGAGATTTGGCGGGACTCCTCCTGAATGTGGAGCGACAGTTCTCCTCTCCTCTGATCACTTCTCCTGCTTGCTGTGATCCAGGCACTGACTTCCTTTCTATTCTTTAAACAGGTCAAATCCACTCTTGTTTAATGCCCTTCCTCCCACTTTCCTTTGATTGGCACCTTCTTCCTCTTTCTTGTCTTCCGGGTCTCCGTTCAATGTCACCTCACTCCCATTTGAACTGGTTATTCTACCACGGAACTCGGCCCAGGTTCTTTCCTTCCCCACATGCTGCCCTCTCCTTTTAGACATTTTACTTTTCGCTGTGTTTTCCCACAACCTGGGTATGAGCTCTATGACTGTATCTGTCTTCGGTTTCCCGGCTCCTGGCACACACGGGTGTCACATGAGAAAATGAGAGGGCAGAGCTATTATTTGAGCTCAGTCTTCATGACCCCAAACTTGAGCCTTTTCTTATTCATTCTGCTCCCAGGACAGAAGTTACCCCCAGGGTCAGATATGGTTTCTTTAGCCTCTCTAGGAGTGCCATTGGGCAAGTCCTTTCCTGGCCCTCAGCCTCAGTTTTCCCATCTGTTCTAAGATGGAATTGATGCTCTGACACTGGGACCAGTCAACAGGGAACAGCAGCAGGTGCTTCTTCCAGCAGGTGGCGCCATTGGTTCTCATCTTTTTCCTGCTCTGGCCCAGGTGGGCTGGATCTCTTGATATGAACGTGGAGTCTTCTCCTCAGAACAGATTCTCTACCATCACCAAATGCCAGGGTGGTGTTTCTTTTTTTCACACACACAAAATTTTCATTTCTTAATATTTTATTTCAAAAACGTTTTGTTTGAGAAGAGATTTAGACTTACAGAGAAGTTGTGACAATAGTAGAGTTCTCCCCGACACTCCACACCCAGATTCCCCTATTATTAACATCTGATATGGTACACTTGTCACAGTGATGAGCCAATACTGACACATTTTTATTAACAAGAATTCCAGACTTGGGGCAAGTAGTGGAGCACTTGCCTAGCAAGTGTGAGGCACTGGGTTTGATCCTCAGTACCACATAAAAAGTAAATAAATAAAATAAAGGTATTGT